GAGGGGGTGAAGGGAGGGCAGGGGAAGGGGAAAAAATAAGAACCAAGATACTCATGTAATGGTACAAGATCCCAATGATGAATGTGACTGTATTTTATACCCAAAATGTACCAATAAACTTAATGGGGATAAAAAAGAAGTGAAGAAGAATATTATGTATTTGTGTGGCATCATTTCCTTCTCTACCTAATCAGAATTGCCTTTATACAGTAAGTATAGGATCCTCAAAGGACTCAAAGTTGAATTCTTATAGTGCTGCTGAACAAACATGAAGAATTGAGACTTCCTAAAAACAGTTGTGTTAACATCTCCTGAATTCCTGTCTGAGATAATGTACACAGAACAAGCGATGGCCAACATACTTCTCCGGCCCTGGTATTTGCGCCATCCCTCACCTGCAGAGGGTGACAGGAGCACATTTTGCTGACATGCTGACTCGTTTCTGTTGCAGGAGGGCGAGGGAAGGACGGTGCGCCCATCATCACTTTTCCAGAGTGCGTGGGGTTCAAACGCATCCCCGAGGAGGACTTCCTGAATGTGCTGACATACCTGACGAGCATCCCCAGGTGAGCTCATGCCTACTCACTGGCTTCTTAGTCACCTGCCCATCGCTGGGACACGGTACCCACCACCCACACCTTGAGGAGAGGTTTCTTTGGGGGTCAAGATTTCTGTTCATGGTCTGCAGCTCCAGGGCAGAAATAGGATGGCAGAGGGTCCACGGAAAAGGAAAAGGTGCTCAACCCATGGCAACCAGGAAGCAGAGAGTAAAGGGAGGAGCCAGGGACAAATATACACCCTTCCCTGTCACCTCCAACCTGGCTCCACTCTGCTATGAACTCATCAGTGGATGAGTCTACTGATGAGTACCGCACCCCACAATCCAGTCACCTTTCACATACATGAGAATCTGGGGGATGTGTTAGATCTAAAGCATACATTGGCCTTGCTTCACATTTTCCATGCAGCAGGCTGGGCTGAGATGGAATCTTGCATGAGCACAGTTCATGCTCACAGGTAGCTCAGCCAGTGGATGTGGAGAGAGAGAGAATGCGATGGGAGGCAAGTATGATTCGGGACACACTGCACACGGAGGAGGCCCGTAGTAAACGTTGAGTGGAGGAAGAACTGGCTGAGTCACTGAGGAGGCCTGGCTCATCCAAGCTCATGGTTTCAACTGGGGATTTTCTGGCTTTCTGGGTCTTGTTGCCTGGGAATGGGACTGTTGCTCAAGGAACTCAAAGCACATTATAGCTGTTTCATTTCTCTTTCTTGAATAAGAAGGCGAGTAGCAAATTTTATAATTGTCATTGTCTCAATGAAAGCAGTTCTAAGAGAGAAGGTTAAAGATGTAAATACGCACATTGAAAGAATAGAGCCATCCCAAAATAATAACCTAATGCTGCAGCTCAAGGTCTGAGAAAGAGAAGACCAACCCACATCTGGAACTAACAGAAATAAATTATAAAGATCAAAGTGGAAATTAATGAACTTGAGTCTTAAAAAACAATACAGAGGATCAGTGAATCAAAGAGTTGGTTCTTTGAAAGGATTGGAAGGGAGTCTGGGGTTGGGGGAGGCGGGAGGGAGGGAAGGGGAAGTGAAGAGGACCAAGATGTGATAAGAACAAGTGCCCGTTCCCCACTTTGAATATATTTACTGTGTATCGCAAACACATACCAATAAAAAACTGAGGAAAAATACATCTTAGTGAAAAGAGTGAGGTAGAGAATAATATGGGATATGTGCAATAAATTATGTAAACACACAAATAATTGTCATTGTCTGATGGGGAAGCTGAGGCATGGAGCAAGGAAATGAAGAAGCCAGGGATAAGGACTGTACTCCCAGCTCAGTCCAAGAGAGAACTGTTTTCTAGCATCTGTTGCCTCCATCCTCTCCTGCCCAGCTCTCAAATCTGTGTGTCCGGGCCTCCAGGGGTGGGATGGGGCAGAGTTCATGCTACCCACCACACTGCACTGACAGAGACAGCTGGGAAAGGAGCCCAAGGCCCGATCTAGGACCGCGTGGGCTGTGTTGCTCATGACATTGTCTCTTCCTGGACTGGTGTGGAGAAGGATTTACACAACAGCTGCGTAGGTGCTCTTGCACTGCTTCCCCTCTGCCTTGTATGAGCTAGGGATGAAGACCGGCTTTGGGACTGAGGGGCCTCCTGGAGTGGGATCCTGCCTGGGGAGATCAGGACATCCATTGTTGTAGCCGAACCCACTCTGGGAGCATAGTTTTTTGCCTTTTCTTTTAACCATCTTACTTCTTCAGCAAAGTCTATAGGCTTCTTTTAATATACTTCTTCAGTCATACTGAAATCTTATTTCAGCAGTTGCTCCTTTTCAATAAAACTTAAGTTGTATTTCACCCATCATCCCCTCTCTGCCATTCCCGCTCCTCTATGATTCACGCGAACGCAGACACGTGAGCAGTGAGATAACCCTTTGTGGCACTGAAGAACAAGTGCTGCTTGTCTCTGGGTTTGGCTCACTCGGTTCGCAGCCCCTAGGCCCGAGTCCTGCACATTCATCGGCCCTCGGTGTGGACCTCGTGTCTTTAGGGGAACAGTCCCAGACCCAGTTCTGCTCTCACAGACTCTCTTCTTGACTTCCCCAGCTCCCTGAGCTCCCATCTTGCAAAACATGGTAGAATGTGGAGATTATTTCCGCCTCTCCCGTGAGACAGCGAGCTCCTCAAGGGGAGGGGCCAGTGCTGTTTTGTTTTGCATTTTGAGCTCCAGCCTTAGCACAATTCTGGGCACGCTCAGGTAGTATTGGTAGGATTTCCAGTTTTAACAGTGACCCGTTCCAAACCAAAGGTGTTGATTGTAGGGTGGGACGGGGCATGCTGACAGAGAGAGAGGCACCCCACTCCCACTCCTCGCTCCCGCCTTTGCTTACAGAGGAAAACTAGGCTTTAGCAAGTTGAGCTTGGACTTCCTCTCTGGCCTGGTTGCATTTCAGGACAGTGACCCATCCGTTTAGGACCTTGCCATCTGTGGGAGCAGCAAGGAGAGTGACCCCTAGTTCTCATTCTCCTTGTATTTGTTTCAAGTTCACTAATGTTTCTTACTCCCCTGGGATATGGCCAGATGTTGGGTTAAACTGGTGATCTGCACCGTGTACTTGCAGCTTTTCCAGGTCACACCGAGGGCAGCACATTAGTTCCGTCTGAACCAGCAGGGTCAGTAGAGAGAAGCAGGGAGGGTCATAATTCCTGCCTCAGATGGACAAGAAGCAGTAAGGTGGTGGGCTACTGGTTTGCTTTCATCTGCTTTGTGTTCCTCTTCTATTTCTTATAAAGTATGGAGTATTTTCCTTTCCTAGAATGCTGCTTGTTTCTTGAGAAATGTAGCTGTCAGAGCAGTTATTTCCCTTTCCTCCTTGTGGCTTTTTCTCACTTCCACTTACTCTATCCCACTCCCTGCTCCTTCTGGTATAAAGCAGAGACAAAGGATAAAAGGGCCCAAAAGGGAAATTTGATTGAGCCTTGACTGCCAGCTCCCAGTGCAAGTTCCAAAGAATGAATCACCCTGTCTGTTTTCTGACTCCTATTTATCATGCTTTGCATCTTCCTGAATGTTACCTGGTTACCACAGCCCTTCCCAGTTTGCAAAATGTTTTATAGGCGGTCAGTGGAAGGCTCATGGCATACAGAAAGACAGAATTGATTCAATATGTACAGTAGGAGAACGACAGGGTGCTCACAGCAGGGAAAGGATGTCCCTGTGCCTGAAATTCCCAAGGATCTCCCTTGGGGCAGCTTGGGTGAGTGCAGAAAGGTCCCTGCCAGGGCCAGCAGTGTGTAGCATGTGGTGCAAGGTGCTGCAGAGGACCAGAGAGGCCATGGACAATGCCTTGAGCCCTAGGAAGCTCATCACTTAACCCTGGTGACGTGATGGTATGTGGAAGACATTGTTGTTACCGAAGCTCAGAAGACCGAAAAGTCACTCAGACAGAAAGAACAGGGAAAGTTTCCAGGATGAAATGGTCTTGATGGTACAGTTACTACAAGGAGGGAGAGAGAGGCAGCCCAGACAGGTCCAAGAGGTTGGGACACAGCCCAAACCCAGATGGAGTCCAGATCCTGCACTCACTGCAGTACAATCTGGGGCGAGTGACGGCTTCTATTTCTGGCTCCCTTGGGTTTTGAGGTTTTAAACGAGCGTGTTTGGGAACTTATAGCCCATCCAGGTTGACTGGAGCAGACCTCGCTTGCTCCCCAGTAGTAGTGGGACAGGAGCAGGGAGCAGACTGGGTGAGGCCTTTGCCACTGAGCCTGGGCACCATGAGCAGGAGGGCCCTGGAGGCTCCAGAGAGGGGTTGATTTGGTGATGCCCAGGATGGAATGAGGGAGCAGGGACAGTGAGGCAGGAAGGCCGGCCAGGGGCTTCTGCTCTGGAATAAGTGCAGAGTGCAGGAAGATGGCAGGAAGACTGGGTGAAAGGGGACAGACAGGAAAACAGGTGCTGGGGACTGGGAGGTAGGGAAGGGAAAACTTCAAGAGCGTCTGGGTTTGTTTGTTTGTTTTTAGCATCTGTTGTTTTCATATGTGCAGAAAATATGTGGAGTTCAGGCCTCGTTTGCTTTTGATGATTTTTACTGATTTTTTTGGTTCCTCCCAATCAAAGTCATGCTGAGACAACGGTTCCCAAGCCTGGCTGCATGTTCACCCTGAGAGATGTTAGGGTTCTGGGTGTCCAGACCATAATCCAGACCAATTAAATCAAGGTTTCCGGGTGCGGAACCTGGCATCCCACAGCACTTCGAGCTCCCAAGTCTCCCCTCTGTGGCCAGGGCAAGGGTCCCTGTGCTAGGAGTGGAGCAGGCGGAACTGTGATATGTAAGGAAGAAAACTTGGGATTAGACTTGGCTTGGGCTAAAGTGAGGCAGTGGAGAAAGTGGGAAACTCAGAGACTGAAAGCTTTGCCTTTTGCCGTCACAGTCTGCATTTCTTCCCTCCAAATGTAATGTGTGCAAACAAATCAACTTGCTGAGCATCCTTGAGCCTGGATTTCTTTGTTACTTTTTCATATTATGTAAGGAGCTATTGAATTGTAACCCTCCACAGAGGGATCTCATGGTATTAAAATAAATATGAGTGCCTGCTCGCACACACATTACACACTACCACATTACCATTATGTTTCTAAGAACAACGGAGAGCCTGTTTTAGCCTATTGGTTGCCATCCACTGTATAAATTATACTAATAGTTTTCACTGTCCAGCATATAACAATAACAGAGTAAATCCTAGGAGTCAGCTTCTCAGATATTTCACTTATACAAATATTACAGTTTGGGTCTGGAGTGCCCCTCAGAGACTCTAAAGACATTAAAGGCTTAGTCTGAAGCTTGGTGAGATTGTTGCTCTTTGCTCTGCCCCACATGGTCCAAAGGTAATGAGACAACTGGCTAAGGACTGAATCTCCAAACCTGGGAGCCAAAAGCAACCTTTCCTCTTATAACTTGATTACCTCGGGTATTTTGTCACAAAACCAGAAAGCTAACAGGCAAGATACTGTCATGGAAAACATGTGGCCTGAGCCTACGGATTA